AATTCGGTTCTGGAGATTTGATTCACTATATCCAGAGTTCGGTATAGCCAGGTTCGGTATAGCCAGAGTCAACTGTACTTAAAGCTACAATTTCTAATGGGTGGAGTTTTAGGTGGGTTGAAAACAAGGACTTGCTGGAATTATTTTCATTCCTAAACCCAAATTTACAGCTTCCAACAAGAAAACAATTAGGTGGCACTATCTTAACAAATGCTAGTATTGATATTATTCAAACAATTGAAAATAAAGCCAAGTCAGATGAAATAGGTATTTCTCTTGTATTAGATGACTGGGTAAATGTTGTTAATCAAAATTTGCTTGGTAGTGTATTGGTTACTTCTAAAGGTGTAGTTCTTGTTTGGAGGGCTCAAGATGTTAGTGCTAATTGTAGCAGAAAAGAAGAGGTCCAAGAAAAATTGAACAATAACAAAAAGTGTGCAAGATTCTGGTATCAAGGTTACAACAGTTGTAACTGATAATGCCTCACAATATGCTGCAGCTCAGTAATATTATTTTCAAAATTGGTAAAAAATCAATTGAATGTTATTTTATGATTATTAATTATTTAAAAATTTAGTCAAAATCTTCAAATATTGCATCCTGAAATAGTATATTTGCCATGTTTTAGTTATGTGTTGGTGACATGTTTAAAGAAAGAGATGATTTTGATGTTGTTGCTAATAATGCATGCAAAATTGCAACTTATTTCACATCAAAAACTCACACATACTTTATTGGAAAGTTAAAAGATGAGCAACAATTACAATATAGGAAATATGTTAATTTAATTAGGTCATGTGAAACACAGCAGAATAGTTATTTCTATTGCTTAACAAGCATATTAAACACCAAAGAAGCATTGAAGGTTTGTATTTTTTTTTTTTTTTAATGTTATTATTTCATAGATTAATTATTTTCTAAATTTGAAATTTATGCTTAAAGACTTTAGTGATAGATATGAACCTGATGATATGGGTGCACAGATTTCAAGATATTCTAGAAATAACAACTTAAGGTTGCCTTTAACTATTTGTGAGCCAATAAATGGTAATAACTTTTGGAGAGATTTTTGTATTCTGAAAACTTTACTATTGCCTCTATGATAGTCCAATGACTGCCAATAGATGGTTAAAAAAAATGGGTTATGTATATGATAAATACAAAAAGGGTTTATATTTTGATGGACATGAAAGAGATTATGTGATTGAATATAGAAGGAAGTTTTTAGAACAAATGGAATTGTGAGTAGAGAATTAATTACAGACTATTTGTTAAAAGATATACCAACCAATAAATAATACTTTTACTCCATGCTTGGATTTGCTTAATGTAGGTATCAAAAATTAATGCCAGTCTTTTCAGGTGAGAATCTTGAGATTCAAATAAATCCAGAATTAAATGAAGGAGAGAAAGTCCACACACTTGTAACACATGATGAAGCTATCTTCCAGTCAAATGAAGGATTAAAATCTGGTTGGATGCCTGAAGGGGACAACCATTAAGAAAAAAAGGACAAGGTTGGTCACTTCATGTGAGTGATTTCATTACTGAAACTATTGGAAGGCTAAAATTGAACCAACAGCAAATTGATAAATTCAGGGATTCAATTCCTCATGAAGCAAGAATAATGATTAATCCAGGAAAAAACTATGATAGATGGTGGAATATTGATAAACTGATTGAACAGGTAATATTTCAGTTTATTTCAATCTAATGACAAAAATCAAGAACTAAAAGTAATTATATTATATAGATAACCAAACATGCAATTCCTATATTTGAAGCAACTCACCCAGGTGCAATTGCAGTTTTTGCATTCAACAATTCCTCAAGTCATGCTAAAATTGCAGAAGATGCTTTAAATGTAAACAATATGAATCTAAACCCTAGTGGAAGTGGAAAAAAACCTAAAATGAGAGACATGATCTTTGATGGGAAAATTCAAACTATGAATTTTCCTGATGTCATTTTCATGACCTTAGTTTATGTGGAAAACCTAAAGGGATAAAATTAATTTTAGAAGAGTGTGAATTATGGCCAAAAGAAGGACTAAGGTTAACTTGCAATAATAAAAACATTGAAACAAATACAAGTTATCCAGATTGTTGTGCAAGACATAAATTAGGAGCACAACCAGATTTTATGACTCAAATACCTTTGATACAGGAAGTCATTGAAAAACATGGACATAAAGTGATATTTTATCCTAAATATCACTGTGAACTTAATTACATAGGAATGTATTGGGATGCTGCCAAGTGGTATGCAAGAGAAAACTGTAACTACACCTGGGTGGGTTTGTTAAAAACAGTTCCTTTAGCTTTAGATTCTGTTTCATTAAGTTCAATTGGTAAATTTGCAAGGAAATCATTTCAATATATGGAATGTTATAGAAAAGGGTTGAATGAAAAACAAACTGAATATGCTGTTAAAAAATACGAGTCACATAGAAAAATCCCTGATACAATATTAACGGATTTAGATGTTTTAACCAATTAATTTTTTGATAATAATAACTAGGGGTAGGGGGGTTCAATACGAATGTTACACACTATGATTTCGCAAAACCAAAACTGTCCACTATATTAATT